CCAGGAGGGACAGAAGTGGTGGGAAGAGCCAGAAAGCCTCTTCACTCTGAATCCAGGCCTGAGGACCACGCTTGGACGTCAAAGGCCAGCGTGAGGCCCGTGGAACATGTACTCACTTCCTGCTTGAAAGCCAATAATGGGAGGGCAGTTGAGAGCATCGGGAAGTCAGACCCCCCCCCCAACCCACCGTCAGGCCTGGATTGAGAGTCAAGACGCTGCCCTAGATCTTCGAGGCATCTGGACACAGACTCAGTGCTGAGCTCTAGGGCAGCCAGTATGGCACCAGCCCCTCCAGCTCCAGAGTGCAGCCTTCCTTCCCTATCCAGGGTTTGAGGGCTCTGGGCCTGGATGGATATGCTACACTGGGCTCCAGGCCCCAGCTCCACTATCACTGGGCCGAACTGTCCATGGCCTGCATCCAGCGAATGGTGCGGGTCCGGCTCTCCTCCCATGAGAATAGGGGCTCGTAGCCGAAATGGCGCTGAGCCTTGTTTGTGCTGACGGTGAAGGTGGTGTTGGCCATAGCCAGCGTGTATGGGTTGAGCAGGGGCGCATAGAGCAGCAGCGGCCGCAGTAGCCATTGCAGCAGGGCATTGAGGGCAGCCAGAAGCATCAGTAGCCAGTAGGGCAACAGTGGGCGGGTGCCCACCAGTCGCAGTCCACAGGGGCCCAGGAATTCCATGTTGAAGTCCTCGTAGCTCTTATAGGGTGATTTGTCGTAGCAGAAGTACACCTGGCCACCCATTAGTGCCGCTCGCTGCTGTAGCTCCCGGGCCACCAGCACATGCATCCAGGCCACGTTGCCTACCAGTGAGGAAAGTGGGGTGGACATGTCCCTGAGTGTCCTTATGACCATGTAGATGCTGCTCTCCCAGGCCAGCCCATATACAAGCCACCTTCTCTTTGGGCCCATGTAGATGCTGCCCCTCTCCTCTCCTCAGCCTATGACATGTTTTTTGTTTTCCTTCCCAGCTTGCATGGATACTGTTTCCCGTGACCTGTGTAGACAATGCCCACACATCCTAGTCTACCCTGGTCCATGTATAGACTGTTATCCAGGGTACACACTGCACACCTTCCAGAACCATAGAGGTTCTTAGCCTCCCCCGTGTCTACCGTGGCCTCACCTACATACACCCGTCCGTGCTCCACAGAGGCTGGGATGGCCCGGAAGAGCCGGCCTCCCAGGCGCAGGCCCTGGTAGTAGATGTCCCTCATGATCTGGTGGCCTTCACCATATATGCCGGTGGGACGCAGAGCACATGTCACCAAGGGCAGCCCCCCACGGACCTGGCAACAAAAGGTAGGCACTGCTAGGACCTAGGACCCAGTGACCTGCCCTCTGCCCTGGCCTCTTAAAGCTGGAAATGGAAGGGAGGTGCCCAGGGCAGGATGCAAAGAAGCCCAGCTGGCCATGGCTTTGCACCCCCTCTTCTCTAATCTCACCTTCCTTCCATTGGCTTCCAGGACCAGCTGCTCAGCTAGGGCCTTGCTGCAAGGATAGGGGTGCCTGTGTACTGCTTCATATGGGGTGTCCTCATTGCCCCTAGTGGGGGAGAGGGAAGACTTAATGCTGAGGGGAGATGGGGCTCTTAAAGTATTGTGGGGGAACCTCAGCTCACCTGTAGAAGGGGTGGCCTTTGATGTTGGGCCCCACAACTTCCATGCTGCTCGTGTAGACCAGGAACTGTGTTCCAGTCTGCACACAAGCCTCAATCACGTTCTGCGTGCCTGGGGAGGTGGGAGTGGGGGTGTCCAAACAGAAGCTTCCTCCCTCTCTGTATCTTTCCCCTTCCCATCCCCAGTCTGGATGAAGGCACATGGCTTCCTTCCCTAGGTCCAGGGAATACCACACAGATTGGCTATTACAGGGGCAGGAGTGCACACAGGACTGATTGACGCAGGAGAATCACAGAGGTCAAGGTCAAAGCTGGGGGAGGGACACAAACAGTCACAAGTGTTAGTACATTATTAGAACAGTTGGGGAGCATCTCACCTTGCACATTGACCTCATGGATGGTCTCAGGACTGGCCCTCCCAAACACGTCCACCAGCCCAGCTGTGTGGATGACCACATGGGCTCCAGCCATAGCCGCTGCCACCTCGTGGGCCTGGGTCACATCCCCCTGGATGGCAGTCACCTTCACTGGCCCTGGTAAGGGGTAGGGGTAGCCAGAGGCAATGTCACAGCTGGGACCACCAGTCAGCTGCTTGGTTCAGCCTACACCCTTGGGAGCCACATTTCCAGTGTGACTCATTCGCCCCATCCATGAGCACTGGAGAACATAAACAGGCATCATCTTTTCCACCACAGTGAAGGGAATCCACACCCTCCCCCCCACTCCCCAGCACGATCACCTGTCTTCAGCTCCTCCAGCCAGGGACCCAGGTGCAAGTCAAAGATCCGCAGCTCACGGAGCTGGGGTTCCTGCTGCAGCAGCATTCGAACCACATGCTCCCCCAGGAAGCCACAGCCACCTGTGACCAGGTATACCAGCTTCGGGGCCTGTGCAGAGTCTGCCATGTCCTGCTAGGGAGAGACCCTGGCTCACCTGAGTGGTCTGCTGGTACACTGCCTCCCCCAGCACCCGCAGCCCACCTGTTATTTCTTAAAGGGGCCTCTAGCCTAGTGGGCTGGAGCAGTGACCCAGGGGTCACAACTGTTCCTAGTGGGTGCAGCAGCCAGGCTACCTGCCCTCTGACCCTGCCAACTACAGTTACTGAGAAGGTGAGGGCTTGCAGGAAGGACTGTTAGAGGTGGAGGGGGAGGTTCTGGGATAAAACACAGTGTGGGAGGGTAGGGAGTTAGGAAGGGGAGAGAAAGGTGGGCAGGGCTGGGGCTGGGGGAAGGGACTCCAGGCATCACCTCTGCCTACCTGCAGCCACAGTCCCAGGGTGCCCAAACTAGTAACCGGAGGAGCTGGTCTCGTTTCCGGCCAGTAATACACCGTTGTCCCCTTCCGTTTGCTCCTCCCTCCTGCCCATTCCAGGAACAAACTGGCCCAGCCTCCACCCTTCGCCTCCCTCTTGACCCAGGGCGCCCCCTGGTGGCCACTGTGCTCCACTGGCACCTGCTTCCAGCAAAGAACTTGGGGAAGGGGGATGGGAAAGCCAAAACGGGCTGGGTGGGCGCTGAGTGCTTGAAGGGAAGGATGGAGCAGGCAGGGTGACCTCACGCCTACTGCATGTCAGTCCTTCCCTCCTGCTGGATCTCCCAGGAGGCGACCCAGAAGCAGCTGTGGTTCTGGGAAAGGAGGCCTGACCTTGGCCAGGTCTGGCTGGCCTTGCTGGGGAATTTCTAGATGGCTGTTCCAGCCTGTCAGGTGGCCCACAGCAATGGTGGCTGAGTCTGTGTGTCTGGGCTCTTGCCCTAAAGCTTACTCTCTACCCACCAAAACTCCAGGCCACCCATTTCCCCCTCATCACTTGCCCCACCCTCTGTCCTCAACCCCCATTCCACCTCACTCTTTCCCAAAGATACTGACCAAGCACTTTTGTACAATAAAGTTTAATCACAATTATAAAAATGTGGCATTGGGTTTGCGCTATTAACATATATACAATCCAGCCCAACAGGAAGGGCCCGCTCCCCCCACCATCCTGGCCTGGCCCAGCCGAAGCTTCCAGACACCAGGGTAGAAGGGTGACCCACAGGGTCTGGCAGGAACAGAAGATGAGGCAGGGTTCCAGGCACGGAGTCCCCAGGACTGGGAGGCACAGGGCCCCCCTCCCCAGGGGGAGAACATGGCCACTGCCCCTAGAGACCCCTAAACTGGGGAGGGGTGCACGCAGGGCACAAAAGGGAAGTCCCCATTAACACAAAGCAAGAGGGCTGTGCAGCCCCCAAGAACAGGATCTGTACAGGCTGGCACCCCAGGTTTCCACAGGAAACAGCTGCTGGCAGCTACAAAACATTTACAGCTTCTTCTCCGCAAAGAAAAAAATTAGGGGGTGGGTGGCAGGGGTGACAGGGGAGGCAGACACTGCCTCAAGGGACTGAGGCTCCCTTGCAGGGCTCAGGGGCCCAACTCCATATTCAGAGATGGGGCAAGTGGGCCCTCCTGAGCCCAGTAAGGCTGGGGGTCTGGGAGCTCAGGGCACCAAGGGGAATAAATAGGGGTGTGGGCGCCAGTCCTGCCCACCTCAGTTGAGGGAGCCACGGCAGCTCTCAGTGCCGCACAGACACGGGATCTTGTTGTCCTCCAGCGGGAACTTGTAGTCATAGGTGATCTCCTCGTCCACACCAATGGGTTGCTTGGAATAAATCACGATCTTTTTCTGGGACTCGATAGTGATCACCTTGGCATAGCAGTTGGGCTGCAGGAGGGAGGGACAAGTGAGCTGTGTGGCCACCCGCTTGGACACCACCACCCTGGCCAGGCCCCCAGCGCACCGTGCAGCAGTGGTTGATGAACCTCGCCAAGTTGCCACACTTGGTAGCGTCAATGATGGTGTCGTGGTCTACCCGGAACAGGTAGCTGCTGCCAATGCCCTCCTGCACGTAGCGCTTCTCCCTCATGTCGGCCACCATCTGGTAGGATGGGATGCGATGGTCAGGGAGCTGCCCGCTCCTCAGCTTCCTGCCAGACCAGGCTTGATACCCCAGCCTGTGACTGGGGGTCTGCACAATCTCCCAGGTGCCATCCTGGGGCCATAATGACCTGTCCTGGATCCGTAGCTCTCACACCTACTAACCCAGTATGTGGACACTCCTGACTTTGCTTCCAGGAGCCCCTCCCTCTTATCGCCAGCCCCCTATACCTTTGCTGCCACTCTAAGTCACCCAAAGAGGACTCCAGGGAAGTCAGCACTGGTCACTGGCAGAAGCAGCCACTGGCTGCTCCTGGAGTGTGTCTGACCCACCACATTGGAGCCCCCAGGCTACAGTGGGACTGTGGCAGTTCCCAACATGACAGTGGCCAACCTACTCATCTCTTCTCTCAGGACCCTTTCTCCAAAAAGGAGCCCACTGGTGCTGCTGGTTGTCCACGTTAGGACCCACGTTCTTGTATGAGTAACTTACTTCCCAGAAAAATGGGACACTAAAACCTCTGTGCTCTTCCCTTGGGTGATCTCTCTTTCAGGGCTTCAGCTGCCAGCTGTGCTGGGGACTCCTCCCAAACTTCCATCTGCAGCCAAAATCCACCTCAGTGGAGCTGCTGGGTGTCATCCTCTAGATGTCCCCTGCACACTGCAACTTCACACATCCCAACTGGAACGCCTCCTAATCCCACATCTGCTCTTCCTCCTCATTCTCCATCTCACTGGCAGCGCTGTTTACTCCTCGCCGCTGAAGGCAGTGCCCTGAGAAATGGCCTCACCTCTCCCCTTGCCCTCCACTCTCCAGAGCCAACATGGTTGCTTGTCTTGCAAGCTACATTGGACCCACAGACTCCTCTGTTACCTTGGCTGCCACTGCCTAGTCCAGGAACCTCAACTTTGGGATCTCTACAAGAGCCCCCATTCCTCCCCCACTGGTCTCTGTCTCTAGTTCTGTCTCTGTCTCTTCATACAGCAGCCAGAGGGAGCTTATAACCTCCAAAGTTCTCTTCTAACACTTCAAAGCAACATTCCTCCTCTCACCCCATTGGTCCAAACGTAGTAATGTGGCGCCTAACTTCTGGGGAGTCTGGCCTCCACCTGCATGTCACTGCCGCTGGCCCAAGTTTTTCCACCTAGCTACAGTGCCCTCCTTGCTCTCCTGAGACTGTCCTGTCTCTAGGCCTTTGCATCTGCTGTCCCATAATCAGGAGCACCTCCCTCCCCTGAGCCTGGGTAGTTCATCATCCTTCGGCTCCTGGTGTAAACATCACCGTGCTCAACCCGCCTGCCTTCCTGAACTTCCCCTTTTGTAACAATCAAACATCATCCTTTACTGTAGTTACTTGTTCAATGCCTGCCTCTCCACTAAACTGAGGTCCTTAAAGAGGTATTTGTCTTGTTTCTTGCTGCATCATTAACATCTAGTTTACTACTTGTACCCATCACTAGAAAGGGAGGGAGGGAAGAGGAAGCGGTTTCATTGGCTAAGCCTTGGAGCCAGGAGGGTATGTGGGGCTTTGTCCAGAGGGTTGCATGGGTCTCATGTCAGCATCCCATGGTGCCATCAGACTGAGAGCTGGGTGTGGGGCCTTCTCACCTGACGGATGTTCTGACCCACATATTCGATGACCATCTCATCAGCTGCGATGGGTTCCATGGCAAAGAGACCCCACTCATGGATCCGGCTCCGGCCAAATCGGAGCTTCTTCTTCCGGAACTAGAGGGCAGAAGGTAGACTATGCTGCTGGACTCCTCCCTCAACCTGACTCCTGGCTTTTCCTGCAGACCTCCAGGGCAGGAGGGTGCTCTGGCCACTCACCCTCCATCTGCCCAACCACACCCCTAGGGGACTCCATGATGCTGCCCTTCCACTCAAGTCCCCACTCCTCACCTTGAGCTGGTTTAGCTTTAGCAGATCACTATCCACGATGGCTGAGGTGCCAATGGCACTCAGCAGCCGCCGCTGCTCAGATCGGCGCTCCGAAAGCACACGATTAGTCCCCTGTGAGAAGCAGGACAGAGAGGAAATGAAAGGAGAAACAATGGGAAGAGGATGCCAGTGGGCCATACACCAGGGCAGAGCCTCACCTGAGTGTCCGCCCCTTCCAGCTGCCGGGCTGAGACAGGGCACACATCCAGGTACCTGTCCTTCTCCTTCTTGCTGATGGGGTAATAGCCTTCACTGCGGGCTGAGCCCGTCTGGTGCTCCCGGGGCCCGTCCTGGGGCCGCCGCTTGCGTTTTGGAGTGCTCAGGTTGGTGAGTGCAGGGAGCGTTAAGGAAGAGAATGGGTTCCTCATTGGCCATATCCCTGGGGCCCCACTCCCCTCTGTCCCCCCAGTCCCAGCCCAAGGAAAGAGTGACTGACCTTTGTTTGAGGTCCTGAGCACAGTTGGTGAGAAAAGTACAGAAAGATGGAGAGAAGTAAGTCTTAGGCCACCTTTTCTGCCAGAAAAACTTTGGGTGGCAGAAAAGAGGCACAAAGCAGAGAGAAAATACCCAGGTAGCCAGACGAGAAATACCCAGACTGAACGTGGGTGGCAAAGAGAACTGGACAGGGAGGGAAACGCAGACTAGGAGTTGTCTGAAGAGAACACTGCCCGGCTGTGTGACCTCGGGGAAGTCCGCCCCACTCCCTGGGCCTGTCTTCCTATCCTGAGGAGGCCAGCCTCTAAGGCTCAGGATATTGGTGTGATGGACCCAGTGGGTGTCGTTAAGCCAGTCAGCCCCGCTTGTCTGCTGCAGCAGCTGCTCATATGTGAGCCGTAGGTAGCTCATGTCCTCCAAGTCCAGGCCTGAGTTCCAAATGTCATACAGGATGGTCATCTGCTCAAACTCGCTGCGGGGTTCAAAGGTGAGAGGTGGTGGGGGTGGGGGTGGCGGTGGACGCCGGCGCCGGGTATGGGAACGGAGGCTGCGCCGCCGGATAGCCCCCTCCCCGTTACTGCTGCTGCTGCTGCTGCTCTCAGATGACTCGGACTCCTCCTCTTCCTCCTCCTCCTCCCCCTCCTCCTGCTGCTGCTGCTTTGGCTCCTCTGCCTCAGCCACCACCACCTCAGGGGCCTCCAGGACCTCATCCGCTGGGGAGCTGAAGAGGGCTGCAGGAGCAGGAACTGGCTCCAGGGGCCGAGGGGACGGTGTGAAGGGCTGAGGCTTGACGGCCAAGGCATAGTTGTGCTCCAGTAGGATGTGGCTGAGCACAGGGCCCAGGCGCTCTGCTGCATCCGACGTCTCTGTGGCCTCTGGGTCATCGCCAGTGGGCAAGGCAGCCAACCCGCGCCGGGCTGGGGTCAGGGCCAGGTTGGCCAGCACCGCCAGGTCTACTTCTGTCCCTGGCTCAGCCTCTTCTTCCTCAGTGGGGCGACCTCGGCCGGCAGCCCGGCTCCGACCTCCTCGGGACACCTCCTCAGGCCAACTCTT